AAGATGGAACCCTATCATCAAAGATGGAACAAGATGCACAAATCGGGATGACGGAAACCACAGCCACTCCGTCTTGGAGGGATTGAGCTTGAGCCTGTTTCTCCCCATCCAGATCCGCACAGCCTCCAGGCATTGGGACATCACGTCGAGGGCATCGTTAAAAGTCCTCTTATAATCTCTGTACAGTATTACAGTAAGATTTAGTTGATGTAGAAAGATCGTAATAACTAAAGTGTTCAGTCTGGTATGCAACCTTTCATAAAGGCATTACATTGAAAAATATAACTTCAGAACTGTTTTTTTTTTATATTGGCATGAGACATTTAAGACAAAAATTGAACAGAATTCTATGCATCTGTACAAAAACATTGATCAAGTTCTTATTAATGGCTAGATTGGCTAATGGATCAATCTAGCCAATCATATTTTAGCATATGGTGTTAACCTGGCCACTATACTTAGTCAGTATCAAATATAGAACATTTGGTCAAGATAGACCATGATTCTATTAACTATGGTTAAACCTATTTTGCAAGAAACTCCATGTATGCATTAATGAGACAGCACTTTGGTTAATAGAACCATACTTTATATATAGAAAAGAACATCCCACATCTATAGTACTACACTGCTTTTAAAATCCTTGGATAGCCGCCTATATGCCTATCAAATCTTAAAATGTATCTATGACATAACCTAATTACATGATTGTTTATAGTGAAAATGTAAACAGCCTGGAGCTTTATACTAGAAATTTTCTTTTTTTTTTGCTACAACAGTGGGGGGAATGTTATTACAAAACCCTGAAGCAGATTAAAGCACAAGCTCTAGCTCTAATTTTTGTATTCCTAAATTCTAATTACGGGAATATAACCTTTCACAGTGATACTTTGCAAGGATAAAAGCTACAGAACAAAAATGTTTTTTTAAAAACACCCTGAAATGTCAACTTACTTGCTTGATAGTATTGTTTTGGGAAAGTGATAATCTGTTATTGTTTCAAGTTTGGATATAAAACAGACTACTTTGATGAGTGATCTGCACTAGGAATTCTACTTTTCATAGAATCTTTGGTAACAAATGTCATTGGTCATGACAGGGACCAGGCTTAAAGGCATTATTTTAGAGTTATTTCAATGTTCCCTGAGAGATTGCACCAGAAGATAGTGATAGAGGAATTACTATTCTATATCTTGACTATTAAATTACTGTTCTATGCTGCATCCTATGTTGTTCCCTATGAAGTTAAATCTCAAATCTATATAGAATCACAATGAGATACTGTCAATGTGCTGACAACACTTAACTCTATAGTTCCCCTCCCAGAAAGCCATTAGTATTCTTGAACATCACCTAAGTTCTATAATGGATGGGAGCTGGGAAGCAAGTTAACATTCAATTCAAAGGAGGCAGGGTCATTCTGGGCAGCCTGTTTTACTTTACTTATTGATTTTTATCCCATCTTTATTACAAGGAACTCAAGTGATGAACATACATAATACTCCCTTTCCTCTTATTTTCCTACAACAATAATCCTGTGAAGTGGTTTGGCTGAGAGAAAGTGACTGGCTCAAAGTTACCCAGCTAACTTTCATGCCTGAGGTAGGACTAAAACGTATAGTCTTCTGGTTTTTAGGCCAACACCTTAATCATTACACCAAACTTTTAGATGGGATTTCACTTCTTGTGAAAGAGTAGGTCTTAAGCCACTTTTTTGAATTTCAGTTATCATAAATTCCAGGGTGACAGGTGTGGTAAAGTACAAAAATAATTCAAATAGTAGAATGCATCCAGGATTAGAACTTTACTGTTATTTCACTTTTCAGTGTTCTGTGACATGTTCACCATGGCAGCTACTTTGTGACATGTAAAATCAAACATGCCCACATATCCAGAGAGTTATAGATCTCTAGTTTGGAAGATGATCCTATTATGCGATAGAAGTAATTTAGCTAAATATAAACTGAGGTGACAAATTATTTTAATTCAGCGCTAGAGGTAGCAGCAATGTCATGCATCCTGTACTCTTCTGGTCTGTGCTACCAAACGCATATTGGGATAAAGTCAGGAAACCTGTGATCACAATCTTTATATACCGTATTTTTTGGCGTATAAGACGCACCTTTTTCCCTCAAAAAAGAAGCTGAAAATCTGGGTGCGTCTTATACACTGAATACAGCATTTTTTGCCTCCCGAAATCTCGTCCCTGTCACCAAAATGGCCATGCATAGCTTTTAAAAGGCTTATAGTGTGCTCCTGGGGGCTGAGGAGAGTAGAAATGTGTGAAAAATTGCCTGTTTTTTGCTCAATTTTGTCTCCCCGCCCCCAGCCCCGAAGAGCACTCTATAAGCCTCCCAAAGGCTATTCATGCCCTTTTTTGTAAAACAAAAAAAAACCTGGGCCCGTTTTTTTGAAAGGTCTGCAGAGTGCAAAATCTTTTTTTGTTTAATTTGCCTCTTCAAAATCTTGGTGTGTCTTATACTCCAGTGCGTCTTATACTCCAGTGCGTCTTATACTCCGAAAATACGGTAACTATTAGAAATTATGGCAGGAGATCCAAAATTTAAATTTAGGTATGTATGAAGCATATACTTCTTGCATTTATTACTCTTTGCACCCTATTAGATTTCAAGAAGTATTTTGGTCCAGGAGTTTAAAAAAAGACATAGAAACATGTTAATTAAGATCTTATAAAAAATTCAGGTTGTACAATTTATATTGTTAAACAGTTATTTATCTAAAACCATTGTTAAATCTTCAGAATTGAATGCAATCCCACAGATATAAAACTTTATTTAGGTGTTTTTTTTTAAAAAAATCTAGTAATTGATGACAGCAGCAATCCTGAATGGAAATACATTTTTATCTTGGTAGCTTTATGAATTAATATGGTTCATTGAAGGGATATAGGGGGTGTCCAGCATCCCTTGCTATCATTTTGTCCCCCACCTGCAAAAAAAAAAGAAAACTTTTAATTAAAAGGAAGCACGATTGTTTCTCTTATTTCAAAGTGAATATAGCACTGTCTGAAATTTGATTTTATTTAATAACAAAATCATTTTTACTTCTCTGACAAAATTGATACTTTAAATATTTACATTTGCTGTATCAGATTTATCAATGGATAGTTTTGAAAAGAACACTTTAAAAGAAATGTGTTTGAAAATATCTACCCCAATGGTAACTCTTAAGAAATGGGAAGGAGACATTGCACTTTTGCAGATGACCTTAACTAACATTTAAGATTTTGAATAGTCTTTTAGTCAAATGGACACCACGGTGATCCTTTGCCATAACCAAACAACCATGCAAATTTGATCTCCATGGGAGATTTTCTGTACATCAATTTGCCTTTCATAACTCTCAGAATCTGAATATTGGCAAGATAGAGAAGGATGATGTGTCCTGGTGCAAGATTCTTCTCATGAGAGATCGACCGTTGTCTTACCTGAACGGTCCTTCTATGTGTGCTGCGAGGGGAATCCAAGCATGGGTTAACTTTGTC